TTGTCCCACACCTCCTCCGTGTATATTAACATTACAGCAATGCAGGTGATTGCAATTTCATTTGTAATCGTATTGGTATAAAAGAGTTATACACCATATACGTGCAGTGTGCACRGGACATGACTGCACAAGAGTTTATAAAAATGTTTATAAAAATAATATAATATTATAAAATGGACATTCATGACTAAAAGTTTGCTGTTCACGGTATTGTTATAAGCACAGAACAATATATTCTAAATCATAAATAATATTTTGAAAAAACTATAAATTTGACACACGAGTGAGATATGGGTTTTGAATTGTCCGGTAATATCGTTAAGTTTGCCTATAAAAAGACAGCTGCCAACTCCTTGCGCCGGCTATATAATATGACTATAATACAGGATGATTCTTTTATCAAACAACACTCATATGGTGTTTGTGTGTAAATACCACCTAACATACACCTATAACACACAGACACCACCCAACTTTGGGAGGCTATATCTTGTAAASGGATTAACGACAAATGAAAATTTAAACGTGATAATTCATTGAAAAATAGCCTTTTTAGTTTATGTAATTTTAAGTATAGGTTGTCATTTGAAAATCAAAAGTTGATAATGGTTTACTTGATAAATAAAAGGATGAAAATATTTTTAAAAAAAATATCGTTCTAGAACAAGATGGWTCTAAAATTTTGGAAAAAGTCGATAGTTTTTGAAATAATGATAGTGTTGTTTGATAAAAGAATCATCCTGTATACTATTATTATTATTATTATAATGTACAACTATATATTATATTTTATGATTCCAAACCATCAGCTTAAACAATACTATACAGATATTTAATTAATAGCTATATATTATTATTATTATTACGATTAACGTATAGATATTTCGATAAATGTACATAATATGTGCATCACTACAAGCACACACACACACAATAACGTGCAAAATGACACGTGTATTTTATATTCCAGCATAATATTATTGTTCGTAGGTAATTGATTTTGCAGTGTCCCTTCCATTTATCTATTATCGTTTTTATCATTATACAACTACGTTGCTAATTATTGTGTAAATTAAAACAAAAAATACGTCGACCGATCGTGGTGTGGAGACGGCGGCAGTGTGTGTAATGATGTATTCATTGAACGTAATCGACCGACGGTAAACAATGGGCAAAATCAAATTTACAGCCTCGGCGGTGGAGTTTTACACGTGTCTTGAATTCTTAACCCCTCGCCTGGCGAACGTGTAGTTTTACGGTGAGCGCTGGGGCARGTGCAGCGTAGGGTGGGTAAAGGTACCTTATGATTCTTCACTACTGTAAATATCGACCATATCTAACCAAATTACCCAGGGAAACGTACGTACAAAGTTTATCCCTCTTCCTACAGTCCTCATAGAACTTCTCAGCATATTATCCTCCTCCTCCTCCTCCTC